GGTGTAGGCTCTGAGTTCAAGCCCCAGTACTGGAAAGGAAGGAAGGAAGGAAGGAAGGAAGGAAGGAAGGAAGGAAGGAAGGAAGGCAAGAAGGAAAAGAGAGAGAGGAAAGAAGAAAAAGAGAGAGAGGAAGAGAGGAAAAGAGAGAGAGAAAGAAAGGAAAGAAAAAGAAAGGAAAGAAGAAAGAAACATTTATAGTATTTTTAGTGAAACAATCTACTTGTTTTGTGTAATAATTTGTCCTTCAAAAATACTTCAACTCAGTTTATTAGTCATCCCTTTCTTTTTTTCCTCTTTTTTGGTGGCATTGGGGCTTGAACTCAGGGCTTCCTCCTTGCACCACTCTGTCAGCCCATTTTTGTGATGGGTGTTTTGAGAGACCTATTTTCCCCAGGCTGGTTCTGAACCACAATCATCCTGATCTCTGCCTTCTGAGTAGCTAGGATTACAGGCTAGTCATCCCTTATTTTAACTCTCAAAATATTTAGAATGTGGTTGTATTAGTTTTGAGTAACAACCTTCAATGAGTATAAAACATTGAGTTCCAAATTCTTAAAACTGCAGGTAGGTAGGTTGAATTTATTTTTCCACAAAAAAATTAAAAATTAGCCTACTATTTGTTTCTACATTTTTTTTTTTAGTGGTACTGGGGTTTGAACTCAGGGCATTATGCTTATTAGACAGGTGCTCTACCACTTTAGCCATGTCCCCAGACCTGTTTCTACATCTTAAAGCATGACACACGTAACTACATTTACAAGTCAAATCTGATAGAATTTACTACTTGGAAATAGGCAACCAAAATGAATTTTATTGAGAAAAGATTATCTGTCTTAAGTCAGGAATTCTCTGCAAGGTACACTCTAGGATGAGAATAAGGCTGTAAATAATCAAGTACACATAATTTTTTTTGCTGTGGTCACTGTGATTCACAAACTCTCACTCTACCTCCTCCCCTTCTGGAACCCTTGTCTCCTGCTATATACCAACCAACAGATGTACTATACCTCAATAAGTAATGTCACAGCATTCACTCACTTTTGGCAATGAGTTGAAATAGAAATTGCAGCTCTAGACCAAGTAAATACTGTGTATTTGGCAAAATCACTGTGGTTGTGATCTTCAGCATGGTTTCCAAGCTAACCACCAGTTCTACTTGGCAAGTGGATGCTCCCACAGTTAAGGCTCCAACTGTAAAGTTGGCTTGGGAGATACTTGCCTGCTGTTGGCTGTGGTGCTGTTAACTACCCTTCAGAACTACTATGCAATGGTGGTATAATTCTTGAGAAAGCATTATTTTGATAAACCAATACTGACAACTGGCTCAAAGTGTTTGCCTAATTCCATATTAGAAAAGAATTACATTAAAATAGTTTACCTGGTTATTTACAAAACAAAGAGGGGTCTCTCTAGCAATATGTCATAGCTACAAATTCTATGAAAACAACTGAACTTGCATTAGAAGCAATTACAACATTAAAAGATCTAATAATATTTTCTAAAATATTAGACATTCTAAAGCATTGGCCTTCTTGAGAATCAAACATTCATAATTGTCTAAGACATTTTATTTCAAGCTAATTTTATTAGAATTTGCTACTTTGCACTTAGGACATGATGGAAAATAGAGTTTCTGCTAGGTGTGTCTATGAATCATAAGAAGGACTTCTTATTGAGGTCAGCAAATAAGGAAATAGTGACATTTGACTTACAACACTGTGTGGGTGGAGTCTTAGAGAAATTGATACACAATTTCTAACTTCAACAAGTGAAACCAAAACACCAACTCCAGTTTTTGTTGCCTAAAGTAAATCCAGTGCCCAGTTGGAAGTCTGTTATAACAAGATCTGAGCAAGTATATTTCACTTGTCCTGGAGGTGTGCTGACCTGCCAATACCTAGGACAACATGCCACTGCATCAAAACTGTGTCTATGCTGGGCACCAGTCATGCCTGTGATCCTAGCTACTCAGGAGGCAGAATATCAGGAGGACTCTGGATGAAAGCCAGCCCCCGGCAAACTGTTTAAGAGACCCTATCTCAAAAATACCCAACAGAAAAAGGGCTGACTGAGTGGCACAACTGGTAGAGAACCTGCCTAGCAAGCAAGAAGACCCAAGTTTAAACCCTAGCACCACCAAAAAAAAAAAAAAAAAAAAAAAAAAAAATCTATCCCTCTGGTTCCTGGTTCCTAGTTAGTTCCTGGCATAAACCAAATAAAAGTACTAAAGAGAGTTTGACAAATGAGTGAATTAAAACAAAGCAAGGGACTTCTCTCATTACCAGTTAATTTCTCATTAATGATTAGCTCAATAAGGAAAATAATGCTGTGGTTTTAAAAAAAAGTCATCAATCTTGTTATTGTTCAGATACTCTTCTAAAACTCAATCAACCAAGGCAGTTCTATGGATTTTTTTGAAACAGTGCTGACAAATGTTATCATACACATATAGTACTCTTATATATTTGATCATTGAAGAGCTGAGATTATGTCTTATTGTAAACTTTTTATCCCACATTTATTCAAATATCTTCTCTTTCTAAAAGAAACCATTATTTTTATTCAGATTGGTCAATATAAAAATTTCCTCCTTAGAATCACTGAAACCCCTAAAATAATATTAGTAACCATTTTCATCATAAAAGTAAGATGAATAAAATAACAAAATAGTCTATATCTGATGGTAGGAAAGAATAAGCCTTCATGGTAACAAAATTATTAACCAATGTTGGTGATCTTACTTATTGATTTGAATGGGCAACATTGTAACTATTATTAGTTGAATAGCTTGCAACAGTAAATACCAAAACATTTGAAAAGTTGTTCCCCCTGAAGCAGTTAAGATACTAATCTGTTAGGGAAAAAAATTTAAAAAGAAAAGATTTTTATTTTTAATTCTGAAATAATTTTAGCCATAGTTTTCCAGCAAACAGTAAAGATTTATGCTAAAATTCTCAGTACTTTATAATTTAGGGCAAAATAAGCACTAACCAATGAGCAGCTTGTCTTCCACGGAGATGAGTAATGCTTCTCCCTTGTAGTCAAGTGAAAGAACCTCTAGTATCAATGATTAAAGCAAACATAACCACTTTTCCAAAAATCAAAATAAGAGTTACAACCTGAACTACTGAGGACAAGTAGTTTTGCAAATGTGATTTATTTAGCAAAATCCATTACTGTGCTTTTTCTAATAGCCACCTTTTAATTCAATAAATATCTCTTGAACTTGTTTGACTCATTCTTCACAAACACTACTCTGCTTAATAACATTTTAAAAATAAATATTTATTACTTTGACATTTATATTCTATTCCAAACTGATTATGAAATTCATCAGCAAACATGCAGACAAATATAACTCCCTTCCATATTTCAACTTTCCATTAAAATGCAAATGTAATGATTTCCTTAGGCAGGCAACAATACCCACAGTCTTAAGCCAAACCAAACCAACTTCTCCTACCATATACTTTATTCCTATGTTGGATCCTTTGCTGATGAATATTTTTGGATCTGGATTTTGCCATTATAATCCCTGATTGAAGAGGGGAAAGTACAATGTGTAACTTGAGATTTTGAATTCATGGATGTATTCTACTTCCCAGAAAGGCAACTAAAATATTTCACTAAATTTTAAGCAAATAACCTGAAAATAATCCTGTTTCAATTCTTAAACATTACACAAGACAAAAAAAAAAAATAATGCAGTTAAAAGCATATCATGAGGGGGATAACCAGAAAATAACACATATATAACACATATGTCTTATTCAAAGTGTATCCAGGCCACACTTTATTTTGTCATAGGTAGCAAACTCTCTCCATAGAAACCATGTTAGCTTAATAACACTAGTAATAACAGTAGACAGGAGTCCCAGTGAAAAGATTCAGCAAAATGTGAGTGATGAGTGTGTGCTTGGAGGAGAGAGAGAGAGAGAGAGAGAGAGAGAGAGAGAGAGAGAGAATATGAACACAGAGGAAGGCAGACACATAAAAGACCAAAGAGAGAAGCAAGAGAGAAAGAAAAATTTGGATGGGACTGTTAGAAATCTCCACTTCTACGCTGGGACTGGCTTTTATTTCTTTAGGCGCCCCTGACCTTGCAGTCTTCCAACTCTCAACCCTTAGCCCCCCGCTCCCCCCCTTCGGGCCTGCGCCTGCCTTTGTGTCTGCCTGTCACTTACCAGAGAACCAAACGAAGCTGATTCGGGAGAAGCACAAAGCCAGGACACAGATTTGCCCACAAATTCTCTTACACACATTTCCCAGGCTGGCAGGCACAGCCCACGCAGAGCGTAGGTACCTTGAGAAAAGTGGGTTCTGGTCTTGTCTGGGGGACCCGAGAAACTATTCTTTCCTCTCTTACTCAGCGCCACTAACAAAACGCGCGGACTTAAGAAAAAGCCAAAACTCTACTTCGTGTATTCCTATTCCACTCCTGTGACATTTGCTTACTACAGTCCTCAAAAGGCGACAGGAGAATAGAAAGGGGCAGACCCAAACCCAGACTCAGATCCAAACCCTACACAGATAAAAGAGTCGAAAAGCACCCCGTCAGTGTGCTCTCCGGGGTGGTTTGGGAGAAACGAGGACCTCATCTGACTTACACCAAGGAAAGGGGGAAGAGGATTAAAGGGGGAAGTGGTGTCCCCCAAACTGAAGTAATTTAAAAGGGATAGCAAAGAAAAAAATCACTTTCCCGAGGATAAAAGGCCGGGAAACGGGCTCGCCGGAGGTAAGTTTCCGGGGTGAGGAGGGGACGAGCATTAGCAGGGGAGACAAGAGAACACAACTACAAATTTAAGGGGGGGGGTGGCGGAATTAAAACTATATTTGTCAGCCATGTTGAAGAAGCTCCAGTAATTTGTGAAGCTTCCCTCTTCCCTCTTGGTTATTTGTGGGTGACACTACAAGGTTTGCTCCCCAGTCCCTGGAAGCCCGAGAGAAAGCGAGGAGGAGAGGAAAGAGAGAGTTTGGCCGCAAAAGAGAAGCGCTCTGACCTCGTTCTCGTCCCTCAGCCTTGCAGCAATCCAGCAGTTGCAGTCGGGTCTCCTTTCTAACAAATCCTAAAGGGCAGCCATCTTGCTTCCTTCTGCTTCTCTACGAAAGCAGCCTAGCCTCCGCATCAATATTCATAAGGCAGTTTGACGTCTGTTCTCATCACTCGGCTGGGCCGGCGTCTCGGGGCGGCCGCGCCGAGGGGGCGGACGTGACTCGCATGCGAGCCGGGCCTGGGCGCGCGGCGCTCGCTCGCTGGCTCGCGAGGAGGCGGCGGGGGCCGCCCGGGCTCTCGGCGCTGCCACTGCCGCCGGCTCTGCTCCTCCGCCCCGGCCTCCTCCTCCTCCTCTACTGCACGAGCCTCCTCCACCTCCTCCACCTCCTCCTCCTCCTCCTCCTCCTCCACCACCCGGGTCTTCTCCAGCTCCGCCCCGGCCTCTGCCGCCGCCCTAGGGCCCTCAGCCCCAGCTCCCGGGGAACCCGTCCCCTGCCCGAGGCGTCCCGCGGAATGGCCCGCGGCACCCGGGCACTGTACAATGGGGCGCGCAGTCGAGGCCGGGGCTGTCTCCACTCCAGGGAGAGGGAGAGGGGGAGCGGTGCGCCCGGATGCGCGCGGGGCGGGGACGAGTGCCAAGAGCAGGCGAAGGGTCCAGCCCTTGGGGACCTGGAACCTTGATCCCCTGGGTCTCGGCTTTTTGGGGGACCCTCCACCCATGGCCAGGTCTAAGCTCCCACGGCAAGGCACGGGGTATGCATCAACAGGGAGGTGGCGAGGATGCCAGGACATGGATGTGAGAGCGCAGATTTATTTCCCTTTGAAACTTTTGGTTGGTCCCGCGCTCCATCACCCTCTTACAGGTATCCGCGCTCACGCCCCACGCCCCACGCCCCCCGCCCCCCGCCTGCCGGCGCGCATCCACTTGGTCCCTGCGCCCGCGCGATCACTCGGCTTCTTGCAGGTATCCCCGCACGCGTCCCCGCGCCCCAACACCACCCCATACACCGCCTTGCACCTATCCTTGCAGACGCGCCTGCTCGCACTCACCTCCCCTTTCTGGCCTTGCACCCTCATCTCTTTTAGGTCCACTTACTCGCGCCCTGACATCCTCTCTTCTTTCCCTGTCGCTTTAATCTCGCTCAGCAAAAGTACTCCCCATTTTCTCCAAGCGCTTGCCCTTAGTGCGTTAGGCCCCATGTTTTTAAAGCCTGCACAAAGTAGGAAATTGACAGAGTGCTGTCCCTCCCCGCCCCAGCCCACCTTGTGTTTACTTTTGCCATGTGCGCTGCGAAAGGGAGGGAGTCTCACAGATCCAAGATGAGTTTCTCACCAGTGATCCTCTACCTCTCGCTCCTAAGAAATAAAGCTGTACTTTCAGATGTGTAAGTTGCTTCCCATAAGTTCCTCTATTTTGAGGACATCTCCACGCGTGTTATGAAGTAACGAAGAAACCATTCCATAAAGAGCTGAATACCGAATAACTGACGCTAATTTCCTTGATGTTCTGGGCTCTGTCCGCTCCTTTGACAGTTTCTCCTTTCTATTGCTGAGTAGTTTTACTCGTTTTCTAAGAGTTAACTTTCTTTAAGATGAAATAAAGAACAAAGGTCTTATGAATTATATCAGAGTTGTTTGGGGGATATACCCTTCGTCTTTAAGAAGTTCTCACATTGCTGACATTTAAGTTTTAAATAGGTAATTTGGGCACATCTTTTATGGGATCTGTTGTGATCACGATAACCTTAAGTCAACACTAGTTGTATTATAGAATAGCCCAGTTTTGGGTGGTGGAGGTGATGAAGGGACACTTCTGTAATTTCTTTAGAAATGAGGCCTTGAGTGGGGCAGGTGGAGCACATCTCAAGTCTTAGCTACTCCTGTGTCTTTGAACTCAGGAATTCTGAGCTAGCCTAGGCAACATAGTAGCTCTCATCTTTAAAAAAAAAGGAAAAAAAAGTGGCCTTCCCCTAATTTTATAAAATTGGAATATTTCCTCTTTGTGAAGTGCTAAAAAGGGGAACTGTTTCTATGTTTTACACTGTTACTGAGAAGAATGTTTAAAGTATGTTCTAATGAAACATTGTTTATTCCACTTTGAAGCAGATTCTTGATTTTTGCACAGAACAAGCAAAATTGTTTTGTTTTCCCTAAGCATTCCATGTGAACTTAAATTTCCATGTTTTCTAGCTGTTCACTAATGTGTTACTGAGGTCGACAGTATTAACAGTATTAACAAATACACCTTTTTTTTCCCTTCAATACTGGACTAGCATTTTAGGCAAGCCCTCTTCCGTGTGCCATGTGAGCCTCTCCTCTCCATCCCTAATCCTTATTAATGCACTTTAAAACCTAAGCTGTTAGGAAGATTCCTTGTGATTTGTTTTTTCAACTCCAGGAAGTAAAGTCCTCAAAAGCCACAATGCACATTTCTATAGTGTACAGAATTACAGAGTTGTTGAAAGCTTGGTCTTTGAAGGTAGACAGACCTGAGTAAATCCGGACTGCATCTCTTACTGTGAGACATTCAGCAGGTTAGTTAACTCTCTGTATCAATTTCTTCATCTTTTAAACACTGCAGAATGGAGGGCTGTTGTGTAAGGCTGCAGGTAAGTGTCCATGAAGTTATTTATATAGTTCTTTTATGCTCAGTAGTAAGCCATCTACTTCCAGGAGTTTTTCTTGACTGATTATAGGACCATATAAGTAATTATATGTCTTTCTATGCTTAATTTAATATATGGAAATGTCATATTCCAATGCATTTGATATAAATATCTGCAATGTTCCTTTAGTTAATCTATAATTGGGAAAAGATCTTTCAGGTCATCTCCATCAGCTATCTTTTAGGAACTCTCTGTTGTAGCAGGTGGCTCTTGTCTATCTGGAGTCATACTTGGCTTGCAGCTGGTTTTGCAACAGGCCCTGAACATTTTCTTGCCAGCTCCTTTCTCTGCTTCCCACCCTACCCTTAACCACCATGATATTTACTAATTCAAAAGAAAATAGATTACTCTTGTTGGTTACCATGGCTTTTCATCAGCAAAAGGAAGTAAAATCCTCCAAGTGTAAAATAAGTGTCAGATTTTATTTTGTTGATTTTAAAAAGAAAAGCTTTTTTTTGGTTCCTTTTCGGGACTGAAAGGATCTAGTGTGCATAATTGCTGCTTACTGGACATTAGTGCATATTTGTGTGAGTAATTCAGAACCAGCTTTTATTAATTGTATGCATTCTTGAGAATCTTTCTCTTGTAGGTATGGATAACTTATTTTTAAAAAATAATTTTCTGCTTCAACAAAAGTTAATTGTTATTAAATTCCTTATCATTTTTTCTCAAACTGGACATAGGAGCACTGTTTCCATACAGAGGAATCCTTGCTTTCTTAAGAGAGAGGAAAGAGAGGAGAGAAAGAGAGAGAAGACTACTAGAACAAGCTCCATGACATGCTATTCTGTTGTTACAAAATTGACTTGATTGGCCTGAGCACCTGCTGTCTGACTGAGTTGCACAGTCACTATGCTTCTTAGTGTGGAGGCAGCTTCCTGTCTGCTGTTTGCTATCCATTAAGGAACTGACAACAACAGTTTGCTTACAATGCAATTTCTTTGCATTATATCAACAACAAAAACAGGCACATTCTTAAATTTCCTCACAACCTGCAGAATAGACATTTTCTTGAAGAACCTAATTTTGTCTATAACAGAAATAACTGTGTTACATACTGCTTTGAAAGGATTACTGTAGCTTAACAAAGCATTAAATCATAGCTTGTTGTTTCCCATCTCTGGAATAATTCTGAAGTATAATATGATAAAGATTCCCTGCATACTTAAAGGACAATTTACCTTCAAACATCACAGCATTCATTACTGTGAAGATACTTTCTTGCTGCTTTGTTTGATGACATTGCTGTACATCATAGAAGTATATATCTATTTATTATTTAAAGTACATATTTAATTAGTATAGATGGAATGCTAATTTAAAGAACCTCCAATAAATGAAACATTTAGAAATACCTCTTTAGTTTATGGTTATGAATTATTATCGATACTAGCTATTGTTGCCCACAACATAATAGTCATAATGAGCCTTGATAATCTCTTTTCTTAATATTATTTATACTTACTTTTTCCTGACCTAATTTGACTGTGATAATTTCTCTTTATAATTTTTTTAAAAACTTTTTAAATGTAAGAAACAGATATAAGTATATAATTCTAAGTTTACTAAACTCAGTGTATGTAAATTAGCATATCATATATGTATGCTAACTTAGTGGGGAAAATGAAATACCAGATGAAACTCAAAAGTCAACCCTGTTAGAGTGTTGCCAAAGGCATTATAAAGAGATAATAGATCATTAGTAGGACAAACATCATTGAAACTCCTCCAGAAGTACTGAAAATTTGCTAATATGAATCTCCACAATTTGGGAACTATTTTCTCCTCATATTTTGATTTCACAATCCACTAACCATTCTTTTTATGCAAATTCAAATTTGTCATTCACTTAATATCTCACTTTGAGAGGAGACTAACTTTTTCAACTTTAATTATGAATTTCAGTAGTTAACAAATTTTTTAACTATTAGTAATTATATCAGCACTATTTTATATTATATAGGACTTTTTAGTTGTCAGAGCATTTATGTACAAATGCATTATAATTTCATATTCAAAAATCATTATGACATGATAAAATGACATTTAATATGTAATTGCTATCATGTAAGGATGAAGAATGAGATTGCTTACTCAAGGTCTTACAGCTGTAATGAGAAGAGTACTTCTCAAATACAAGTTTTGTGGATCAAAGTTCAGCTTTTTTTTTTTCACAAAGACAACTTTATATTTTTTTATGTTTATTTTTCTCTAAAATTTTCTCACTATTTAGTATTAGATGAGATAGGAATCGTCTCTTCAAAACTCAGAGTTTTTATTATCCTTTGCTACTAAAAAAGTCTCTGCATCTGCATTTTTCTCAGCACTCCAAAGATAATTTTGTTTGTGAAAAAACTGGTTAGGCACCAAGTATTGAAGTAATTGTTTACATTCATTATTCTTTTAATTTAATGCTTTTACAACTGGGTAAGGTAGGTAATATTCTTGTTGAGAATTCATGGTTTAGCAATAGGGTTGAAATTAAGGAACTGGAGCAATTGTCTGAATCTAGGTTTGTCTGACTCTACAGCTTTTGTTCTTTCAGACTTCTCTGTGTTGTCTCCTAGTTTAGCAGCTATAGACATCCATGTGTGCCCCATGATAGTTTTTCACACAATTAGAATGTCTTTAGCAATAGCATCAGTATTCCCTAATTTCTTTCATATC